GTAATTTGATGTCCTGCTGCATATGTTATTCGTAGTTTCCTATACACATATCCACAATTTATATCATTATAAAGATAATCATGTTTATATTAACACTATAAATGAGGCAACCTTCTCTTCTCTTCAATCACTGGGTCTGAATGCAGACACAGTGGATAGCCTATAGCAATACAGCAGGTCTCTTGCCCTATCTATTCCAACCATTAGCCCTGCCGGTAATCTGGAGGATTTTAAGCATGGGCGAACACAGCAGCCTGGATATATAGGCGATGTGTCTGAATGGTAACAAACTCAACTGATAAAAGACAAAGTTTGCCATTCTCCAATTCTTGTACAGCTCTCCCAACAAAAATGCTTGCTGAAAACATAAAGCTTTTTTCTGTATAGGCCCTGACAGCATTGCAGGGAAAGACATGCAATAAACCCTGTGGATCTTAAAAACAAACACATACGACCCATTATGCATGGCTAAATGCGGTGTGCCATACTGTATGTGGAGTCCGCGGACGTGGTCTCACCCGTTCATTGGGTCTCACAGCTTGGCAGGTCTGCTTTGCTTTCGGAAAGTACATGTTCTTATAAATAATTAAGAAGCAGGGTCTTCTCAAAGAAAACTTAAATATGAATAATTATGTGAAACCGACCCATCATCACTTCACTTGCAGATTTGTGCTACATCGTGCCCCAAAAATTATTTTAAACTTTGAAGATGAAATTATCTGACAAAACATTTAAAGCTGACAGGTGCTAATGTTGTCTTAACTGATGCTCAACACACACAAATCTATTAAATCTCAAAAAGTACTCCAAGGTTATTTGAACCTTTAAAAATAGGCTTGCTTGACCTTGCCATCGTGCCTAAATAAAGATTTGCTCTCATGTGATTGACTGATGAGATACTTGCAATCAGTAGTTGTAGTGTTCACATAATGACAGAAATCATTCTATAAACTTGACTTGGCAATTAAAAAAAAAACATTTATGAATTATTAAAAAAATAAATAAAAAAAACTTTACTGTCCCTTTACATGAATTGAATCCAAGTTTTCTGAATAAATGTGCCAAAAGATGAATGTTGATTGAGAACAAAATAGCTTTATCACAGAGATAATAAACTTTTTAAACTTTTAAAGAATATAAATTGCATTTACTCATGCTCGCAATGTTCAAAATTCAAAATAAATGCCCTTTGTTTCTAATCCTGCTTCTTAATTTAACTTGCTTGATGTTTTTTTTTTTCTTCATGAAAAACATGATAAAAATACTAATGCCTTTTTTCCAATGCATCGATGAAACTGAACAGATATCACTGCGTTAATCCACACGCGTGAGGAGAATTATCTACGATTAAAACTTTGTTGAGAAGAGGTGCTCATATTCCGCTCAGCTTTGATATCTAATCTGAAGAGCGGAAAAGTTCAGTCTGTTTTGTTGATGCCGCCGACAGCTTCAGCAGTGAAAATGGGAGCGTGTCTGATATTTCTCCTGCTCACTGCTTCGCCTTTTGTCTGTGACAAGCTTGAACTCTGGCTCTCATTGCAGTCAGAGGGTGTATCATTTCTAAAAACAGGCTTAAATGAAGCACAAAAGAAAGAGAAAAGAAAAATGAGGAGCTACAGAACTAAAGTTAAGTAAATTAATTCATAATATCTCACATTCTCTCTCTCTTTTTAGAGATCCTATCTGTCCTCAGATGTGTAAAAAGGAAAACACCACAAGATATGGCTCTAAAGCGCATTATTTCCTGATACTGCTAATTAAACTGCTGGCGTCATTAATTGGTTTGAAGATATCTTTGCATTGAGTTGGAGACATCTTAAGCTCAATTAAAGATAGCTTCAACTCAATTACAGATATCCAAATGCCGTGTCCCACAATATGCAATCAGGATCTTTTTTCTATGCAATACCAGATGCCCTGTAACACAAAGATTGTGCTCTTTCCACTTCCAAAGTTTTATCATGAAAAGATTGGGTGCGCTTCAATGTGCCAATGTGTTGTTTAATCCTATTCTCATCCCAGTGGAGATATTATATGTGGCTATTAGGGATGATAGAATTGGAATGTGAGCTCTTTACGCTTCTGACATCGTCTGAGTGATAAGTTTCATGTTTTAGCGTGTTGTGATGAGTGAGTTGACAGATGGCAGGTGGTATTTGCGCAAGCTCTGCTACATTGATGTGCAATCTCTTTGCAAAAAAAATAAAAAAAAATCATCAGCTCTGTCTCGATTAAGTGAATGACCTTATTAAATGCCTTAGATTTCTACAATTGTAGGGCAACTGATCACTTCGCACTTTAAAAAAGAAAAAAAAAAACACTTTAAAGGGGTAAATTCCCTAGAGATGGTATCAATCTAACTTTAGAAATGCTCCTCATATTCTGTTGCATTTGACACTGAGTCTTTTAATCCTTTTTATCCACGAGACTTGCAATTACTCAGTAGTGTAGATTATGTTATCATTGCTTGTACCACAAAGGAGAGTTGGCTTGAAAGGGCGACAGACACAGTTTATTCAAGATTATCTCTCAACCTGAAAGCTGAAGTGTTATTCTGCTTAATAGATTAAACATCTCATGCTCTTTTAAAAAAAATGCAAAAACATAGTGGTTTCTGCAACTGAAATAATTAATTAAAATAGCTATAGCTCTTAATTAGAAATGTATATACAACACATGCTATGATATTTGGGTAAACTATAGACAAATTCAATCAGTGAATTAAAGATATGTAACATCTTTATTTAAAAATATAAAGTTTGGTTTAAAACAAAGCAGCGTTTTGTAGACTGTTGCAAATCTAATCCGTTTAACCATATAAGCAGTGTGCAATTTATATGACCAATAGAGAGGTTGATTTTTTTCACGTCGTCTGTGTAATGCATACTGTACAGCTATGCCTGTGTCAATGTACCAAATACAGTTGAGGTCAGAATTATTAGCCTTCCTGAATTATTAGCCCCTCTGTTTACTTCTGTTTAACAGAGAAAAGATTTTATCAACACATTTATGAATCTAATAGTTTTAAAAACTGATTTCTAATAACTGATTTATTTTATCTTTGATATCCATGATGACAGTAAATAATATTTTACTAGATATTTTTCACTTCATATTTTTCACTAGTTTTTTAACTTTAAAGTTCAAAGTGGTTCAAAGTGACATTTAAAGGCTTAACTAAGTTAATTAGGTTAACTAGGCAGGTTAGGCTAAAGAAATTAAAAACTGCTTTTGTTCTATTCAAAATAAAACAAATAAGATTTTCTCCAGAAGAAAAAATAATATTGGAAATGCTGTCAAAATTTTCAAAAAAATTAAAAATTCATTAAATGCGGAGATAACACCTTAAGGTATAGGTCTCAACCTTAATTCCTGGAGGGCTGCAGCTCTGCACAGTTTTAATCCAACCCTTATCAAACACAGCTGATCTAACTAATGACGGTGTTCATTACTCTTTTGAACACCTCGATTATATGGATCAGCTGTGTTTGGGTTAGAGCAAAACTATGCAGAGCTGCGCCCCCCAGGAATTTAGTTTTTTAGTCAATTTTTGCAAGCTTTATGTTAAATTAGTTAATCAAAAACAATTTATCTAATCAACTTAAATTCCTTAAGTTTTGATCAGCTTGGTCTATAGATTATGTGATTTAATTTTGGTGAAAATTGGACTAACAGCCTAGCACAAGTTCGTTTAAATAGGTTTTATGAAAAGTTCAAAATAGCGAAAAACAATTTCATGATGGAAAATGACGCCACATTTGGATCAGCCTGAGCCAAGGAATCAGAAAAAAAAGAGTTTTGATTTTAGCTTATTCGGTTCAATGATGAAAAACATAAATGAAAATTTGGACAAATGGTGGCGCTAGAGAGTTTGAGTTAGAGAGTCCAGTTTTGTTGTGCTTAAAGATCAGACTGTCCTTCATCAGGGTGCCAAAGTTTAATAAATCTCGTTTCAACTGTATACTTAATGCAATTACCTCATTAATAAATGAAACTTATTAAGGTTTTCAGTGGTTTTTAGGGAAAATGTGTACTGACCTACAGTAAGCTCTGATGAACTACAGTAACTGATAATTTAAATAGATCAATACGATTCTCAAATACAACCTATAGTTAATATGAAGTATTTAATTAGAATGGTGAGAAGTTTGCAATCCTACATCTATATGGATGATATTGAATCATCAAGCTTTCTGTTTTACTGTTTAACTTTCATTTGTGAGCATCTATTAAAACACATGCTGCAGGTCTAGTTTGAGTATTAGGCTATACTGTATGCAGCAACAAACAACTATACTCAAGTGTTCTTTGAACACTTGCAGAGTATAATGTTCTGGCTAGATTTGCCAGTTTCAGACCGCTAAATATTTTCCTGCACGGCCTGCTGGACTTGATTATGCATTGACAGTTGTGTGAACCATTAAAGGGGCTGTCAGATTTTTTATTTACATTAGCTTTAGTTTAGGTCATAATTCATTCTATTAACTGCTGGCTTATAACCTGTTGATTATTAAGATATTTGCTATTCATGAATAGTTATGAAGTATGATCTTATTCTGCATCCTTAATCCTACTCACAACCTAAACCCAACTTCTACTGTACTAATTATTAATAAACAGCTAATTAGTTGTTTATTAAGCTAGCAGTGTTAGTTAATGGTTTGTTAATAGCATGAATTTTGACCTAAACTAATGTGTTACCCTTATTTATTTATTTTTTTTTTTTGCATTATTGTTATTATTTAGGATACAGATCAGTGCAAATTATTTTTCACTATTTATGGAGCAGACACCCCCAAACACACATAAACACATATGCTGTTTTGACAACACAGTGTGGAATCAAGTATTAATTAAGCAGATCAACCCCACCCAATCCAAATTCACACTCTACCTCTGCGTATGTATACATGTCTCTGATTTTGAATATGTTTCTCACCGTTTGTTATTTTGCAATATATATTTTAGAGGTAATTAATAATTGAACCTGTATTTTGCAGGTCGGTGTTCAAGCTGTGGGGAGAATGTGGTTGGAGAGGGCACAGGTTGTACCGCCATGGACCAGGTCTTCCATGTGGACTGCTTCATCTGCATGACCTGTGGCTCTAAGCTAAGAGGGAAGCCCTTTTATGCCGTGGAGAAGAAGGCTTACTGTGAACCCTGCTATATCGTGAGTGTGATCTGCTCTGTGTGCGCACTGGGGCTCGTACACTTAAAACACCCATATACTCACAGCAAAGTTCTTTTTCATATTTCATTTAAGGGTAATGTTACTATGGGGTATACTGTTTGCAAACATCCTGAAAGCACCCATGCTGCTGAGAGAAGTTTTTAGATGAATATGTAATTATGCACTGCACACGTTCCTTGCAATAGCAAAACAAACATACAAACAAAATTACAAAGGTGAGAAAATGGCAGCTTCAAGACGTCTGAAGAAAAATACAGCAATATGTTTTATGTTACTTTTAATGAGTTAATCAGGTTTGTGTTGAATTACACAGTTTATACAACATTTACCTTACATTTAATCTGTTTGATTGATCAAAGGCAGGGGTGTCAAACTCAATTCCTAGAGGGCCGAAGCCCTGCACAGTTTAGTTCCAACCCTGCTCCAACACACATACCTGTAGGTTTCAAACAAGCCAGAAGGACTCAATTAGTTTGATCAGGTGTGTTTAATTAGGGTTGGAACTAAACTGTGCAGAGCTGCGGCCATTTTGGAACTGAGTTTGACACCTGTGATCTAAGGTGAATGGAAAAGTTGATTTGTTTGTAAAAATTGAAGCAGAAATATTTACATTGCATGTTTGCACGTCATGTCACATTTATTTATATTGCACTTCATAGCAGCTTTAAAGCAAGGAACTTTAGAGTATTAAACCTGGACTAAAAAGTGGTTTCAATTAGAATTACACTTCAATTTCTACAGGAGGTCCACTTGGGTCCTAAAATCACTAACCAACCAGGTGCTTCTAACCAGGACCTGATTACTTACATAAGAAAATCTCAACCCTTTTTTTTCATTTTGAACTCCATTTCTATTTTTCTATATTTCTTTCTAATGTAGATAAATTTTTGAGAGTTTTACTTTTAAATACACTAAAAAATATATTCATTGTATTTACTAAATTTTTTTAAGTAAGTGGTTGCAATTTATATGGGCTGAATATAAACTGTCAAATTAAGTTGAACATTACTAAATTTAATTGGATTGTTTAAGTCCAGCCCAGCCCATATAATGTTTTGCAACCACTTAAATTAATAAATGCATTAAATCCAATAAATAATTATTTTCAATGTAGATGGAGAGGAGCACATTTGACAGGAAAGGTCTTTAAAGACCCTATCTTACACCCAGCGCAAAAAGGTGTAAGAAGTGTTTGGCTCGATTTATTGGTGCAGCACTAATTTTCACGCTTTGCACCACGTTGTTTAAATTGCAAATCCATTTGGGCTGCTTTACGGACTCATAGGTGCTCCTAAAAAGGAGGTGTGTTAAGGCGAATTGCTATTTTCAAGAATTAAAATAGATTGCGCCACTGACCAAATAAAACCTGGTCTAATCTACAGCACAGAGAACATTAGTTATGCGCCTATGCAGGTCCAAACGCTTACACATTGCTTAATACACACAGGATGTACAATATTACACAAATATCTTTACATATGAAAAAAAATTAAAGATTTAAAATGTTACAAAAATTATTAATTTCTACATAAAAATAAAAATCCCTATCTCCATGCCTTCTTCATCAGAGGGGAGGGGTGGTAGCAGTATTATTTTTATATGCATATTTATATTTGTTTTAAACAAATCAAAAACAAGTTCAGATTTGTCCACCTGTCAGGTTTTGGAGAGTATGCATCACCATATGGGGCATAAGAATAGTTTTTAAGAAGTTTTTTAAACAGAATTCGCTATTATTGTTCATTTATTTTGTTTAATGGAAATTAAAACTGAATTTAAAAATAGTTTTGAAACAAATCTTTGCACTAAACAAACTAAATTAAATATGTAGGGTAATGGTTGTTTTCAGCAGAGTGCGTACACCTCAGTTTTCTTATACACAAAAGTAATGGAATAAAGTAAAGTGTAATAGCAAAGAAGCCTATGGCAGAGGCTCGTTCTTTATCCAATCTTTAGGAATTTGATACCGCACGTTGAATGGAAAGAAAAAAAAACTTCGTATTTTGCGACGCAGGTGTCTGTGGTCCTTTAAAGGTTATCAGAAATCACTGTTTACATGGTGGTCTAGACTCTAAATCAGAGTATTGTCTAAATCACAATAAAATAAGAGCATTGGTGTCCATGTACATATATTTAAAGTGCCAGATATTGTCAGAGACAGTGCATTCATCTGCCTTTGAGCCCTCAAATGTGTCATTAAGCTTGACGAGTTTCCCCTTACACGCAAGTTTTGTAAAACATCTGCTTCATGTTGCTGTGTCAGAATACTTGCTAGTAAAATACGCTTTAGAATGCTTAGTTTAAGCAAATTTGATGAACGCGATCATGCTTGCTGATTTGAAGAGAGTCTTTCTCGCTCATCTAATGCACTGTACTGCGTGCATTGCGCGCGTGCATCTGCTCCTAAAGCAACAAGAACAAACGCCTGACATCGCCTGTCCGTATTCCTCAAAGTTGTTTAGAAATAATTATTAATAGATGGTTTGACAACACATACTTATGAGTGCCTTTGATGCACCCCTTAATGCTTCTTACGTCCTGGTCGCAGCACCAGTGGCACCGAAATTCATAAACTGATTTGATACCAGTACATACCGGTTACGGGTTTTGATACACAACCCTACTTAAGGGTGGCTAAATAATAAGTTCTTGTTCATTTTTATGTAGAATTATTACTTTAAGGATCACAATGCAGTCCCTAATTGCTTAACAATTGTGCAACGTTTTTATCTTTGTACAGCAAGACATTTTCAATTGTTTAAACATATTTTATAAACATTTGGCATATTTTAAATGTAATATTTTCAACTGGCCATTACAGTTCTCATTAAGCTAACTAAATATAGCTATTATTATGCTTCATAAACCAAGGAATACAAAAAACAAGCTGTCAGTGTCACACAATCATGTTTCATTGTTGTTTCTTTAGCCATGTATTTGCTGTTTTGACGCACTGTCGATTCTTCTGTTCACTGAAAAAAAAAAATGTCTGCAAAATTGTTGCAAACAATGTATGTGTTGGATTTAAACAAACAGATTACCTTTAGTAATGTTTATTTAATTTGTTTGTTTAAATTCCACCCAAATAAAATGTTTACATCCACTTAACTTTAAAAAATGAGTAAATCCAAGGAATGATCTTTGAATCATTTTTTTCAGTGTTGTTGCCAACATCCATTTGTTAATTTACACACCTATTTGCACATTTAAACACACAAATCTAAGAGGAAATACTTCAGTGGCACTTTGAAGTTCTAGTTTGATTGTCTTTATGTGAAGCTACAGTTTCATCTCTCATTCAGCTCCATGTTCTGTGGACATGTCTAAGACCTGCCAGGAGCTCTGTGTAAAGCCTGGATATAGGCTCTTTCATAAATGTTACCCAAACCGTTGCTCTTTTCATAATCATTCACCTATTCCTGTCACACTCCTCATTCTTCCCTGATGAGCTGCTTCACACTTGTTAGCTTGGTAGTCAAATCCATAAGAGGCATAAAGATTAGACAAACAGTGGCCTCGTATGCAAAGGACCAAGCGTCACGTTCAACTCCATCTCATGCATCTGATAAGCATTCACACGGGCAAATCACACTTGAGATGTAGCACGAGTATTAAAATCACATTAGACTGCCAGATAGGATTACTTTCCTTTGTAGATTGGAAACCAAATCAGGGCCCCTATTTCTCCCTCCATCGTCCACCTTCCTTTTTAGTTGCTGAAAATATCTGTTGCAAATTCACCCATTTCTTCAGGCGAACGGTAAGAGAAAAGAAAATTAGTGTCAGTTACAGTAAGACATAAAGATTAACATTTCTCATCGAGCAAAAGGGTTGGGAGTTTCTTATAAAACGCTTACAAAACTTTCTGGCCATGCTTTCCCACATATGAGAGTTGTGCAACATCTACATATGCTGGAAGACTTTAAAAGTTTGGAGAAGCATATTTTTCTTGGCATTATTACAAAATGTGTTTTGATTCCTGTTTTGAACTGGAGATTTTTGAACTTCTCCGTGTTGGAAACAAAAAGGGATTACATTTAGAGGATTACATTCACTTGGTTAGCAGATCTAAGCTATTAGCAAATGCCATTCTAATTTTGTAACGCTGGAGAAAATGGGGTAGTACTGGACAGAGTTTGATTTACTGAGTCTAGAAAGATTCACAAACAGATTTTAAATAAAACCCTGCGCTAAGTGTTAAAGGCTCAAACTCTTTCACACTATTTCGACAGCCACATATTTCGAAGGGTTGTCAATCAGATCGTTTCACACTCGGGTGTCAGTAACCTAGTCTGACCTTTCTCAACCATGGCTCTTCACAGTATATATAAGAAAGCAAGCTCTGCAGAAGTGAAGTATTTTAGGGAAAAAAAGTGGGGGTTCTTTATTTGATTTGTGGTTTCTATATAAACAGGATGGATCGCGTACTGACCCACTCCCAAGCTGACAAAAGCAAAAGTGCTGAAAAGTCCATTTCTGTTTGATCAATCTTTACTGTAAGTATAACATTTTGAAACCCAGAGCCAGTCAGTGCCAAAAATAAGTATTAGCCCAACTCACAAGGAAACCAGGCCATTCCTCAAACTGCCTTTTATTTCATCATTGTTTCCCGTTTGTACTTGTGTTATTTCCATTTCCACTGGCACATGTAGCCTACTTACGTTTCTGTTGTGGCCTCAGTGTTTCCCTGTTTCCCTTTTAAGAAACCACTGTATTACTGAGCCAGCATTTTCTTTAGTGTTCTTCCCTTTATACAGACTATGCAAAATTTCAAAGAGGCCAGAATATTGGTCAGATTTGTTTAACATGTTAATTATCATAAACTAGAGGTTCCCAAATTTTTGTCTTTTTTTTTTTTTTTTTTTTACTGTGAAGGGCTATTCATCTTATTTTGCAATGTGGAAGTGTACTCATTTTTTGTGATTGTTTTGAACTTTCTCTACAAATAAGTGTGTTCATGACTATACATAAAAAATAGA